GCTCTGATACCACTTGTTGTGCGCGGAGAAACAAACACAAATGTCGAGAGAAAAAGCTAAAACAATCCAAAATAACGACACCAACTCAAACACAAACGTTTAACGTGGTTCGGCAAATTGCCTACGTCCACGGGGCAAAAAGGGATGGGTTTCCACTATAGAGAAAGAGAGTATAAAGTAGAGATTATAAGATCACTCAACTAACCTCTCAGACAAATCTCTCAAACTAAACTCTCAAACAAATTGCTCAGAAAGATATCTCTTTTCTGTGTTCAAAATCACCTTCAATCTACCCAATCAATCAATAAAAAACTCTAAAAAACGTAGCTCTATTTATAACAAAACACAATCCCAAACAGATTAGGATTCTAAAAACGAGTCTGTCACACCCTGGTGTGACACACACCACACCCATGATAAACATGACAGATTCTGCTATACCAGGGTATGGCAGACATCACACCCATGATAAACAGGGTAGATTCTGCCACACCCTGTCACCTGGGAGTGGCAGACACCACACCAGGGTGTGGTGGAGTCCGTCTTGCTTATTTTTCACGTTTTTTCTCAATTCTTTTCCTCAATTCCTTCGCCGTTTTCACAAAAATTACCTTCTAAAGAGTCTAGTATATTCATTGTCAGAGAGAAAGAGAGAGAGATATGAAAAATTACCTTCTAAAGATTCTAATATAGTCATTATGAGAGAGACTTTGAGATATAAGAACAAATGATTAACAAATCGGTAGCTTATGAGTATTTTACGTATGAAAAGACAAATTCCTTTTATGCAATATCTTTCTATATCTAATATCTCCCTCAACTAAAATATCTAATTCCTAATGTTTTTCCCTCCACAAAAACATTCCCTCTATTATATTACTATGACCGTCTACTGTTTTTTTAGATTACTATGACCACCTTCTCACAAGGAATAGCAAACCGATCAAAATGACTAATTTTCACATGTTTAGTGCTCTCAACCACTTATCAGAGGTTAACAAACCCCTTATCAATAAGTTAATGTTTGGATAGTTAATGAAGGGTCATACCCTTTTAACCCATTCACTAACTCCTTGCCAAACGCAGCCTTACTGATTACAAAAAAGAGCTTGAGTGTAATTATTTCAAAACTGAGGGGCATATTATATATGAGAAAAGCTCCAAATTAAGAATTTATTTTTATTAGGGATACCCCCTTAATCCCCTAACCATCCACTTGCATCTGCCCCTCTATATTTTGTTTTGAAGAAGCATCCACCCCTCTATGGGGGTGTTTGGTTGTTTGCAACTATAGTTGCAATGCAAGTATTACTTGTATGCAACTGAGACATTACAATTCTTCTTACACGCGACTACAACTGTAATTGTTTGATACAAAATTTTAATTTTGCAACTTACAGTTACAACTGTTTGGTTTTGCTTATAACTTTATATATGCAATTTATTTTTTTTATTAATAAATTATTAAATTTATTCATTCTTTTCACACGTTTAAAATATTTATTTTTTAAAAATAATGGTTTTTATTATTAAGTAAATTGACTTTTAAATCATTTAAAAATTTTTGTAAGATAATATTTTTGAAAACAATATTTTATTAGAAGAAATATTTTTTATAAAATAATATTTTTTAGAAAGTAAAATAAAAAACTTTTGTAAAATAATTTTCTGGGTAAAATATAGTTTTGTAAATGAATTTCATTAAAATAATTCATTTTTATTATTTTTTAGAAAGTTATTTTTAAATAAAAATATTTTTTCAGAAAGTTATTTTTAAATACTTTATTTTTAAAAAAATTTAAAAAATTATTATAATAATAATTTAAAAAAAATATTTTAAATCTTTAATGAATTCTTTTTATTTTGAAATGTTATTTAATGAATTTCTTTTTTTTTAAATGTTAACCAATGACTTTGATTATTAATAAATTTGACGACTTGCTGCCATTTTTGATGCGTAAGTTACATATGGCAATTAGGGGTTATTTTACAAATATGGTTGCAATTGTAACTATGAGTTATAACTATATATAATGTGAGTTGCAATGAAATAAATGTTTATAAATGAACAAATTTAACTTAGTTGCATGTTCCAACCATTCCAGTTGCAGTCTACGAAACGCCCGCTATACGTAGCAACGATCGAAGCATATGCACAGTACGTTGTATACGGGTCGGGTCCAAGTGGGTTCGCGGTACAGACCCCACCCAGGAATTTTACGGGACAAAAGTAGCCTTTGCTAGAAGCGACGAGACGAGTCTACAAAGCGGTGGTGGCGCACTTTGGCAATTCCAAACAACATGTAAATAATACGTAACGTCTCTTCATATTTTCGTCTGCAAACTGCAGAAGGAGCTTGAAAATGTCCTCAATTGTGAAGAATGCTTTCAAGGGAGTCAAAGGGAAGGGCATAGTTAATTTCATCAAGTACCTTAAGGATGAGGGCTACACGTTAGTCTCTCTCTCTCTCTCTCTCTCTCTCTCCTTCTTTCTTTTTATTAGCTTAATTAATGTCAATATCTTTAGTAGTTTTAAGTCTCAGCCTTGGATGCTTGTTCGTAGTGTTGCTTGGATTAATTGCTTCATATGTTAAGTTTGGTTATCTAAATTTGGTTCGTGATCGAACAAAAGTATGTCCATAAAACCAAGGGAGATATATACTTAAAGAGTTTGCACGGTGAAAAACATGCTAAATTTGGATCATGAGAAGATGTTTAGGGGCTGTTTGGTTCGTTTCTTTGATATAGAGAAATGCAATTCCATGTAAAGAAACACAAGTTTTGAGTTTTTCAAATTTTTCCAAGAAATAGATTGTTTTGCTTTGGTTCTCACATAAAAAATGGTGGGAAACCAATGTATTTACTTTTCTTGTGTTTGGTTCGCATAGGAAAAAAAAGAAAACTTTTGTAAACAAAGCAGAGAAGGAAAAAAATCTGACGTGGCAGAGTTTTTATCAATTTCACTTGGTTGGGGAAGGAAATCGGAGAGGGAAAAAAATCTTAGTTGGCGGCGATTTCAGCAGAGTTTTCCCTCTTCCATTCGAGCGAACCAAAGCGGCACAAAGAAATGGACGGAAACAAAAAAGCTGACGTGGATGGCTAAAAATCTGACGTGGAGGGGGTTTCTGAGTTTTCCACCCCTTATAATAGCGAACCAAACATCCCCTTAGGGGATGTTTAGTTGGTTTCCTAAAATCAAAGAAAAGGAAATAGGACCCCGACTATTTTTCTTTTTTATTATTGCAGTTAATCTTACTTTATTCTCCTTTAACTTTGGTTTGTTTTGCTTTTTTTCATGTCCAGGAAATGCCTTTTGGATGGAAATTTATTGTAAGTGGCAACTATTAGTATCTGTTTTGCCTCTTGTACACGTGAGAATGTTTATATCGCAATTGCTTGGGCTAAAGTGGTTACATGGAAGTAGCATGGCATGTCTTTCTGAGTGCCTCACTCAAAATATGTATAATTTGATAAAATTTATTTAATTTGGGGTTTTAAGATATTGATCCCTTAAATCTAGGGGTGGAAAATAACCTAATCAAATCGAATATCTACATATTTGAGTTCGTAATCAGTCAGATTTATCATATTCAGATTCGAGTGGAATAACAAAATGCTATTCATATTTGATTCGTTTATAAATAAGACATTTGTTAGCCTTATAAATAGAAAAATGATGTGGGCCCGGTGCACTGTAGCAAATGAGAGAGTGGGTGTGGTTGGAGGTGTGGTTGATGGTGTGCCCTAGTGCCACCCTTATAAATAAGACATTTGTTAGCCATTTATGAATCTTTGTTAGCCCAGTTGGTTTGTGCTTGGGCTTTGAAGCCTCTAGGTCCTGTTTTAAATTTGGGTACAAACATTTTTTTCCCCTTTTATATTTGGCAAATTTGTGTCAATGGCCCAAAACTGTAGTCCCTCCATTTTTTCTATGTGGTTCAGCACTAAGAAATGTCACATAATGTGTTGTACCCTTTTTTCATGTAATTATCATGCCAACTAAGCACAAAGAGAGAGAAACAAATATAAAAACCCAAAAATACCATCATTTCCTCCATTTTGTTCGTTCTCTCCAGATCTATTATGTTAGGTCCACTTTGATTCATGTTAAGTTTAATTTAATTTCTTTTAAGTATAATTTAAATCATGTTAAGTCTAATTCAACTGGTTTTAGGTCTAAAATAAGTTGAATTAGAGTTAACATAAACCATGTTAAGTCTAATTTAACACGTTTTAAGTCTAATTTTATGTTAAGTCCAATTTGATTCATATTAAGTTCAGTTTGATTCATGTTAAGTCTAACTTAATTCATGTTAAGTATAATTTACATCAATTTCATTAAAATAATTCATTTTTATTATTTTTTAGAAAGTTATTTTTAAATAAAAATATTTTTTCAGAAAGTTATTTTTAAATACTTTATTTTTAAAAAAATTTAAAAAATTATTATAATAATAATTTAAAAAAAATATTTTAAATCTTTAATGAATTCTTTTTATTTTGAAATGTTATTTAATGAATTTCTTTTTTTTTAAATGTTAACCAATGACTTTGATTATTAATAAATTTGACGACTTGCTGCCATTTTTGATGCGTAAGTTACATATGGCAATTAGGGGTTATTTTACAAATATGGTTGCAATTGTAACTATGAGTTATAACTATATATAATGTGAGTTGCAATGAAATAAATGTTTATAAATGAACAAATTTAACTTAGTTGCATGTTCCAACCATTCCAGTTGCAGTCTACGAAACGCCCGCTATACGTAGCAACGATCGAAGCATATGCACAGTACGTTGTATACGGGTCGGGTCCAAGTGGGTTCGCGGTACAGACCCCACCCAGGAATTTTACGGGACAAAAGTAGCCTTTGCTAGAAGCGACGAGACGAGTCTACAAAGCGGTGGTGGCGCACTTTGGCAATTCCAAACAACATGTAAATAATACGTAACGTCTCTTCATATTTTCGTCTGCAAACTGCAGAAGGAGCTTGAAAATGTCCTCAATTGTGAAGAATGCTTTCAAGGGAGTCAAAGGGAAGGGCATAGTTAATTTCATCAAGTACCTTAAGGATGAGGGCTACACGTTAGTCTCTCTCTCTCTCTCTCTCTCTCTCTCCTTCTTTCTTTTTATTAGCTTAATTAATGTCAATATCTTTAGTAGTTTTAAGTCTCAGCCTTGGATGCTTGTTCGTAGTGTTGCTTGGATTAATTGCTTCATATGTTAAGTTTGGTTATCTAAATTTGGTTCGTGATCGAACAAAAGTATGTCCATAAAACCAAGGGAGATATATACTTAAAGAGTTTGCACGGTGAAAAACATGCTAAATTTGGATCATGAGAAGATGTTTAGGGGCTGTTTGGTTCGTTTCTTTGATATAGAGAAATGCAATTCCATGTAAAGAAACACAAGTTTTGAGTTTTTCAAATTTTTCCAAGAAATAGATTGTTTTGCTTTGGTTCTCACATAAAAAATGGTGGGAAACCAATGTATTTACTTTTCTTGTGTTTGGTTCGCATAGGAAAAAAAAGAAAACTTTTGTAAACAAAGCAGAGAAGGAAAAAAATCTGACGTGGCAGAGTTTTTATCAATTTCACTTGGTTGGGGAAGGAAATCGGAGAGGGAAAAAAATCTTAGTTGGCGGCGATTTCAGCAGAGTTTTCCCTCTTCCATTCGAGCGAACCAAAGCGGCACAAAGAAATGGACGGAAACAAAAAAGCTGACGTGGATGGCTAAAAATCTGACGTGGAGGGGGTTTCTGAGTTTTCCACCCCTTATAATAGCGAACCAAACATCCCCTTAGGGGATGTTTAGTTGGTTTCCTAAAATCAAAGAAAAGGAAATAGGACCCCGACTATTTTTCTTTTTTATTATTGCAGTTAATCTTACTTTATTCTCCTTTAACTTTGGTTTGTTTTGCTTTTTTTCATGTCCAGGAAATGCCTTTTGGATGGAAATTTATTGTAAGTGGCAACTATTAGTATCTGTTTTGCCTCTTGTACACGTGAGAATGTTTATATCGCAATTGCTTGGGCTAAAGTGGTTACATGGAAGTAGCATGGCATGTCTTTCTGAGTGCCTCACTCAAAATATGTATAATTTGATAAAATTTATTTAATTTGGGGTTTTAAGATATTGATCCCTTAAATCTAGGGGTGGAAAATAACCTAATCAAATCGAATATCTACATATTTGAGTTCGTAATCAGTCAGATTTATCATATTCAGATTCGAGTGGAATAACAAAATGCTATTCATATTTGATTCGTTTATAAATAAGACATTTGTTAGCCTTATAAATAGAAAAATGATGTGGGCCCGGTGCACTGTAGCAAATGAGAGAGTGGGTGTGGTTGGAGGTGTGGTTGATGGTGTGCCCTAGTGCCACCCTTATAAATAAGACATTTGTTAGCCATTTATGAATCTTTGTTAGCCCAGTTGGTTTGTGCTTGGGCTTTGAAGCCTCTAGGTCCTGTTTTAAATTTGGGTACAAACATTTTTTTCCCCTTTTATATTTGGCAAATTTGTGTCAATGGCCCAAAACTGTAGTCCCTCCATTTTTTCTATGTGGTTCAGCACTAAGAAATGTCACATAATGTGTTGTACCCTTTTTTCATGTAATTATCATGCCAACTAAGCACAAAGAGAGAGAAACAAATATAAAAACCCAAAAATACCATCATTTCCTCCATTTTGTTCGTTCTCTCCAGATCTATTATGTTAGGTCCACTTTGATTCATGTTAAGTTTAATTTAATTTCTTTTAAGTATAATTTAAATCATGTTAAGTCTAATTCAACTGGTTTTAGGTCTAAAATAAGTTGAATTAGAGTTAACATAAACCATGTTAAGTCTAATTTAACACGTTTTAAGTCTAATTTTATGTTAAGTCCAATTTGATTCATATTAAGTTCAGTTTGATTCATGTTAAGTCTAACTTAATTCATGTTAAGTATAATTTACATCATGTTGTGTCTAATTCAACTTATTTTAAGTCTAAAAAAAAAGTTAAATTAGACTTAACATGAATCATGTTAAGTCTATTTTAACTTATTCTAAGTCTAATTTTATGTAAGTCCAATTTTACTTCATGTGAAGACCAATTTGATTTATATTAAATCTAATTTAATTCCTTTTAAGTCTAATTTTAATCTAGTTTAGTGTTAAGTCCAATTTAGTTCATCTTAAGTCTAGTTTGGTTCGTGTTAAATCCAGTTTAAATCATTTTTAAGTATAATTTAAATCGTTTAAGTCTAATTCAAATCTTGTTAAGTCTAATTTAAATCATTTTAAGTCTAATTTAAATTGAACTTAACATGAAATTAGACTTAAAATAAAATAAAATAGACTTAACATGGATTATATGTTAAGTCCAATTCGGTTCATGTTAAGTCTAATTCGATTCATGTTAAGTCCAATTCAGTTTATATTAAGTTCAATTTAAATCATGTTAAGTCTAATTCAACTTGTTTTAAGTCTAATTTCATGTTAAATCCAATTTAGTTTATGTTAAGTCTAATTTAATTTTTTAAAGTCTAATTTAAATAATATTATGTCTAATTCAACTTATTTTAGGTCTAAAAATAAGTTAAATTAGACTTAACATGACTCACGTTAAGTCTAATTCAACTTGTTTTAAGTATAATTTCATATTAAGTCTAATTTAATTCATGTTAAGTCTAATTTGGTTCATGTAAAGTCTAATTTAATTCCTTTTAAGTCTAATTTATATCATGTTATATCTAATTCTACTTATTTTAAGTCTAAAAATAAGTTGAATTAGACTTGACATGAATCATGTTAAGTCTATTTTAACTTATTTTAAGTTTAATTTCAATCATGTTAAATTCCTTTTAAGTCTAATTTAAATCATGTTAAGTCTAATTCAACTTTTTATAAGTCTAATTTTATGTTAAGTCTAATTAAAGTAGACTTAAAACAAGTTGAATTAGACATAACATAACTTAAATTAGATTTAAAATAAATTAAATTAGACTACATGAATTAAATTGGATTTAACATGAAATTATACTTAAAACAGGTTGAATTAGACTTAACATGAATTAAATTCGACTTGAAACAAGTTGAATTAGATGTAATATAATTTAAATTAGATTTAAAATAAATTAAATTAGACTTAACATGGATTAAATTGAACTTAACATGAAATTAGGCTTTCATGTTAAGTCTAATTCAACTTGCTTTTAGACTTAACATGAAAGAATAGAGGAGAGAAGGGTATTTTGGGGTTTTTTATTTTTTATTCTCTATATACTTAGTTGGCAGAAAATAATTGCTAAAGAAGGGTTGCAGAACATAAATATCCAATTTAAGGGCTAAAACACATGGAAAAAAGTCAAAGGAGCTGCAGCACATAAAGTTTTTATTTTTGGGGCCTTGACATAATTTTTCCTTCATATTTTCTAGGTAGGTTTCGCACAAACACTCTCCAAGTTATATACATTTGCAAATCTATTCTCAAGCACATCATAATCTTTGATTTCTCTTCTAAATTGCCTTTTTCTTCCCTTTCACATTTTCTAGGTAGATTTATGCACAAACACTCTCCAACTTATATATATTTGCAAATCTATCCTCAGAAACATCATAATTTTTATTTCTCTTCTAAATTGCATTTTTCATTCAAGTTTACAACTCAATCAAAACTAACTAATTTTTTTTTTCAAAATTTCTAATCTACCATTTAATAAATATAAAAAATTTGAATATTTCGAATATATATTTGGTTAAATTCTATTTGTTTATGACTGGAATACTAAAAGTTATTCATTTAATGTTAGGTGAACTACTGAGTCCAATTTTAGAATATCTAGACGGATAATAATCGAGCTGTTTATTAATTATTTGGTTTGCTTCCGTCCCTACTTAAATCACATGTGTATTTTGATATTAGTCCCCCCAAGCTTCATATTGTAATACGAGTCCCCTAAATTACCTTGATGTATTGATATTTTTACCATTCAAATTAACCCCTAAACCATGGCTGGGTGACACAAGCCATGGATGGGGCATTACCTTATCATCCCTCCATCTCTTCCTTACCTCCTACCTCTACGCGGGTATTCTCACCTCCTCCTCCTCCTCCATCACCGCCACCACTATCTCCACCTCCGCATGTATTCTAATCATCTCCTCCATCTCCTCCACCAACATCTCCTCTACTTCCATCACCTCCTCTGCCGATATTCTCACCTGCTTCATCGTTGTCGTCAGTCGTCGTCGTCACCACCACCACCATCACCACCATCACCACCTTCACTGGTAATGTCACCACCACTACCTTGGAGCAGTCCTAGTGGAGGAGGGGGAGGTAAAGAGGGGGCAGCGGTCGACGGCAAAGAGGAGGGAGATCGAGAAGGTCGGAGGGAGGTAGGTGAGGGGTATAACGCCTGTTCAAAAAAATAAAATAAAATAAAAAAATAAAGAAAACGAAACATTCTCATCCATTTTGACACCAACTGACTTGAGGGACTAATATGGGCATACTTTGTGAAGAAGCCAAAGAGCACATTGATGATTTTTGTCAGGGTATTTGGGTACCTCCTCACAGTCCCTATTGTTTTCCATAGGCAAGAGAAAATACATAAGATTGGAGCAACGCTTGTAGGAGTTGACAAATTTGGAAACAAGTACTATGAAAAGCTGGAAGATACTCAATTTGGTTCGTAAAACAATTTCGAATTGTTTGATCACGTACATGTGTACTTGCTTCAGTACTATATTTCATGATCAAGGAAGTTAAGAGTTGTATAAAAATATAAAAGATTTTGTGATGTTTTCGCAGGCAGACACAGGTGGGTGGAGTATGCGAAAAAGGGCAGATATGATGCATCTCAAGTGCCGCCAGAGTGGCATGGTTGGCTTCACTACATGACTGATCATACAGGAGATGAAGTAAGAGCTTCTTCAAGCAAATTTTTTATTTTTCTTCCTTTACGATCTGCCTATCTCAAGTCGCAGAATGGCCTACTAAAACTGTATCCAATTATCCAAAGCATTATTATTTATGACAGGTTTATATTTTCAGTCTGTAGAGTTTTTGTCTAAGAATCCGAACATGACCTTAATCTTACACCAGAATCTACCAAACAACACTAGTCAAAAAGATTCTTACCTTTTGATTTTTTGGTGCATTTTGCTTTAGAATAAAGACAATCTCTTAGTGACTCTATATGTATACAGTCAATGAGGCAGTTTTCAGGGTTAATTTCAGAAAAACCCCTTCTCTTTGGGGGTTTTCCAGCTAACAGCCTTACTATTTTGATTACACAACCTTAAACTTCGAGGTTTCTTACATAACTCCCCTTGAACTTCTTTTATTCTGCCAAACCCTCCAAATTAACACTGTCAAGCCTAATCTTCTGTCAAGAGTAAAAAAAACTGTACATTATGCCTTGTAACAAGTAAAAAAAAACGCACCCGACTGAAAATTTCTTTTCTGATATCTACACCATGCTTCAAAAAACTGAGTAATCTTCCATCTGAGAACATCTCCACATTCACTTATATCAGCACAAAAAACTTCTAAACAATGATGACTGGATACCATCACAAACTAGACATACATGATTTCCTTGTGGGCAGGTTTTGTTGCTGAAACCGAGCAGGTATGGACTTGAGCACAGGGAGAACCTCACAGGAGAAGGTTACGAGTATGCCAACCATTCAAAAGGGCGCCTTCCTTATCCCGGACAAAGGGATTGGAGCTGCTATGAGCCCTGGCAACCGACAAAAACATGAAAGAAAGAAAGAAAAAAAAAGAAGTGTTTAAGATGGATGCATATTGGGGGAACATCTGGGGTTTTGTTTTGCTTTCCTTGCTCTAATGTTGTGTATCTGTAGGCCTTGCTCTTTGATGCGCATGAGATGCACAAGGCTTTGATTTGATCCCTGTAGCTGGAGTTTGTATGTGTCACGTTTGGTATATGCTTTGTATAATCAGTATATATATTTGTATGTTGATGTATAATGCAATGTAATTAAAGACTTGGAAGTAGGTTGCAGTAACCTAAGGTATGGAATGTAATTGATGAGGGTAAAATATCAAGGCATGTCAAAACCTTGCTTATTGGATAACCGTGTAGCTGGCAATGGGTTTGGTTTGCCTTCTAGTCTACATGAGATGAGAGATTGCGGAAAACATTCGTCTTGAAATTTCTACTTTGGAAGTAAACTACTCCTTTTGATACTTCATAAAGGAGTGACAATCATTGGCTTTGTTCAACGTGTTGATTTTATACGTGTCATGAGGGTAGTCAGTAGAAGGACACGACCAATTAATACTAATAATAATACAAAAGACATTAGAGGAAAAGAAGAAGAAAATGACACATAAAGTCTCTTCCTTGTTTAATTGTAGTTATTTTAAGCCCCTAAAGATTACCCATCTTGGTCTTAAAGCAACGAATGCAATTTCATTATAAGAAATATTCAAAATTTTCATCTCGAACCAAACATAGTGTTATTTGTAAACGTATTTCCCTTTCGAAAAGGCAGTAGCAGCTAGAAAAATATCATGTAATGCAGCAAGATGACGTTAGAGTAAATCACAGTCAACCCTTGCACATACATTTTCAATATCACATCTCAACTATTTTATTAGTACTTATTATTATTCCTAGATTGGTATTTTTAAGATGAATAAATTGCACATAACACTTCACATTCTCTCGAATTTTGAATTGGTTGAAGAGCAGCTAATACTCTTAAAAACACAAATGAGAGGGTTACCTGCAACTTCTAATGTACTCTACAATTGAAATGCTCCTTTAGTTAGCTCTTCTTTTTTTCCCCTCAATATTTTCTCATATGACGTGGTTGGGAGATGACTAAGGGAAGGGAAGGAAGGGAAATTTCCCTTCTTTACCTCCAAATAACGAAGCTAAACCAAAATTTCCCTTCTCATTCCCTTTTCTACCCTCCATCCAAACATGCTAATAGAGTCAGACACAAAGGAAAAGAAAAGAGAAGATTTAAAAAAAAAAAAAACAAAAAACAAATTCCACTTACTAATCCAATCACGAATCTTATTCTAGTTTGACTTTTAAAAGAGATTGTGGATGGATAATCTAATCCTCCGTGGCGACAGCAGTCACCAACCACCCAACCTCCCCGTTCCTTCTCGCCGCAGTCATTACGCACCCCGCGCTTCGACACGAGACAGGTCGGTCAGTTGCGGTCATAAACAGCAACACGAGCGCGAATTCTCATCCGCCGCTGTGCTGGCTACATCACCATTCACCGATTCATCCGTGCGTTATTTAAAACAAAACCCAACGACCCCCCCACTCTCGCTCCTTTCCCTCTCACCGCTCTCTGAGAATCGCTCTCAAAACCCCAGCTCCTTCTGTTAATGGCGTCCGAGGCTTTGGATGAGGGGAGAGCTAAGCTCTCCTTCTTCTCTGGGCTCATGGGCAAGCAGGTAATCTACGCTCGGGCTCCGGTTCTTCGATTCTTGATTATGGTTTGAAAATTCGTGTTAATTTGGGGTTTTTTTTTTTTGGATTAGGGTTCGGGGGATGAGATCGGCACCGAGAGGGAGCCCCTGGTTGGGGAGGAGCGGTCGCAGGAGAGCTATTCGATCGGAGCTGCGATTCTCCCGTCAGTATTTCCACCATCTCTTGAGTCGTTTACATATCGTATTGGAATAAAAAATTGAGAATCAGCAGTCTTAAATCACGTAGCAGTGATGATGGTTAGCTGCTCTTGCTCTGAAGATTAAAAAGTTCGCAAATAGTACTTTTAAGGACTGTTTGGCTTGGTAACTGTTTGTGTGATTTCTTATGATTAAGGGGGTGTTTGGTTCATTTCCTAAAAATATAGGAAATTAAAAAAAAGGTGCTAAAACCCTTTCCAACCATTTCTGTGGTTCTCTCAGAAAAATGTTTATTGAAAACTTGTGTGGGAAAGCATGGGCCTTGTAATCTCTAGTTTGGTTTGAACTCAAAAAATAGGAAAACTAAAATTGCAGAAACCCTTTTTTACCATTTTTTTTTGTTTGGATTGCTAATAAGCAACAATAGCAAAGTTGAATGAGAATCCCTTTGGTGAAGTTACCACCCGCAAAATGAAAAAAATTATCATGCTATTTGTTAAACAATAAAATAGTAGATTCTCATTCATATTTCAAAAGCTACAACTGCTCCCCTTTATATAGGGATACAATAACAAGAAGTTTATTGTATAGTCACGTGGGACTAAACACAATTACCTAGTTACAATTATTCACTTATATCTCTCAATCACCAAATCTCTAATTTATACTCCTAATATATTATTCCTAATATAACTATAACATTATAGTTCTCCATATTATATTCCTTAACACTATTAAAAAGGGGGTAACCTTAAAAAAAAAAGATCTCAACCTGAAGGCATTGCTAATGGTCAAATATGAGGACCAATTTGCTTATAAATGTTTTGCAGCCAACATAGTTGAGCAAGGGATAACAATTACAGGAAAATATATGTAGAAGGCATTGCGAGTAGCCGAACAATCCACCAAAAACAACTACAATAACGATTGATGTGCTTAGTTTTGGTTATGCTCATCAAGATATGCTACACCACTAATTTCTACTAACATTGTAGGCTACAATTACGGTTCGTGCCGCCTATACTATGCCAGTAGAAATTATGGTTGCATATCTCAGAAATTCACACTCATCATAGCGGAGTAAAGGGAAATCGTCAAAGCGCATGTATACCAACCAAGAAGATCATATATGAAATAAGCTTGATTCTGTCAAATTTGACATCAAAAACCATGAAGGGAGATCACTATAATGCCCAGTTTGAATGTAACAGGAGCAACATGCATGAACATTAATAGAATAGAAGTACAATCAGTGAACTAAAAGCTTATGAACATTAACAGAAGTTCATCGACAAAACTCTCCACAATCAGATAAAGAATAGAAACAACATAGAGAATAGAAGCATAACTAGTATAATCATATTTAGTTATTTGGAAATTATTTTACATGCTAATTTTTCACTCTACTGTACATTACTTAAACTGTACAAATCAATTTACACATAGTGAGTAATACATCATGAATTACTAAATGCGAAAGCATGGAAAATTAAATGACCATGTAAAGCAAACTAATTAAAATCCATACATAAACAAAGCAGCCCACCATTTGCATTCAAAACAGAACATGCATGAACGTGTAATGCATAAACATAGAGATTATCTTAAGTAGACATGAATTACTATATGTGAAGAAAAAAAAGATCATGTATTGCATGATTACATACTTAATTTCATTAAAAACTTAATTAGAACATTATAAATTTAATTTACTAAATTTTAAGAACACATGAATCACTTAAAAAACTGTATAAATGAAATTCAACATACATGAACATGTAATACATCACCTGAGAGATTATCTTAAGTGCTCTAGATATGAAAAGTAAGTATATTAGTGAGAAATGCATGTTACAGTCTATTCCATTTCAAGGAAAATTAAAAAAAAATTAAGAATGAAATAAAAATAGCAACGGGTGCATACATTAACATCTATCAGAAGCAACATGGATTACGAACATGTACCAACTCTACTAAATTTTACAACTCAATTTTTTTTTAAAAAAACCATTTTTTAACTTCAGGAAGTAAAAGGGAGTAGAATAAAATATACCCTAGCTCAGAATTCAATTAGATCCGAAGAAAATCGAGATTTTAAAAGCACAATGAAAACTTTTCATAGGAATCAAAGAACAAAAGGTCAAGGCTTCAGGTTAGGAGATTTTTGGGGAAAACAAGCGAACAAAAGCCCCAGAAGTAAGATTCTGAACTATCAGAACAAGACCTTAGAACACGATCGTCATTAGCATCAAATTCATGAAATCCATAGCCCCAAATCTGAAAATTCTTCCTCAATCCGTCTTCAACAACATAAAATAGTTCAGATTCTTCAATTATTTAACCAAACGTTCAAGTTTTGTGAGCGATTTTGGTTCACAGCGGAGCTAGGATTTTACTTCTGTTGAGAGAAAGAAGCGCGAAGCGAGAGGAGAGAGGGGGAAATGAGACGGTGACCATAGATCTCCCCAGTTATTTCGTGGGTGAAAACCCAAAAAACGCAAGAAATGCAATTTGTGAGTGGGTGTCAGAATTCCACCCATTTTCAGCCCATATGAAGAGGAATTGGGTTGCAATGAATTAGGGGGGTTTTCTCCACTTTATAAAAAACCTTTCCCATTAAAAAAATGTGAACCAAAGCAAAGAATAGGAATCCTAAAATGGGATTTGTTTTCTTTGGTGGTGGTGTAGGGGTTTTCTAGGCTTTTCCAATGTTTTCAAGTGAACCAAGCACCCAGTAAATGCTGACCTATCTTGCATGTTCGGTGGAAAATAGGATATTTGAACAAGTATTTTACCATTCTTTTGGTTTTCCTTTCTTTGTATTTTTATGAGTAACTAGGTGAACTTTTGCATGTTCGGTGGAGAATAGGATATTTGAACAAGTAGTTTACCATTCTTTTGGTTTTCCTTTATTTGTAGTTTTATGAGTAACTAGGTGAACTTTAGGTTTTTATTCCCAGCTCTGGGAGGGTTGCTCTATGGCTATGACATTGGAGCTACATCAGGTGCAACAATCTCCTTACAGGTATAAATTGGGATTGAGAAAAAAAAAAAATAAGTTGCTCATGTTATGATCTGCAATTTTGAACATGAACCTTACCTCTGTTCCTCGTCATATTGATATATGCAGTCATTGACATTAAGTGGTACAACATGGTATAATTTGAGTTCGGTGGAAATTGGCCTTGTGGTGAGTCAACATATACCATGTCTTTTTTTTGGTTTATTTATTTATTAGTTGTTAATATGGTTATTTGAAATTTGCAGGTTAGTGGCTCATTATATGGGGCTTTGATTGGTTCGGCTTTAGCATTCACTGTTGCAGATTTTTTAGGTTTGTTAAAGATTCATCGACCCTAAGATTTGCTTCTATGGTGTTAATATCTTTATAATTTGGTTCCCAATGTTTTCATGAAGGGAGACGACGAGAATTAATTGTCTCCTCGATGCTGTATTTTCTTGGGGCTCTCCTCACAGCTTTAGCACCCAACTTTCCTATTATGGTACTTGGGCGGTTTGTATTTGGCGCAGGAATCGGGCTGGTAATTGAACTCATCTCCTTGCTTTCTTTTCTAATCCACAACTTTCTCAGTAGAAGAATGCATTTCATTGGCCTGTCAATGTTTAATAGATTGCTTTATAATCATTACACATCAATATTAGCTACTTATTTTTCCTTCAACATGTAACCTCCAAATTTTAAACACATTTCACAATGCTGTCTAATGATGTCAGTGGTGGTATTTTATGGTTTGTAGCCGTCCTTGAAGTTCATATTTTGCATGAACATATTTGATGAAGTTTGTTATGTTACCATGACTGTGTACTGTATGCTATGTTGCTTGAGAAGTCATCCTGTTTCAGGACACATATGTCCTCACTTTCTTTCAACAGTGGTGCATTACAATATCTGACTTGTTTTTTGTCAATCACCACTATTTTACCACTAATCTATTCTTCAGTAGATATAAGGTTTTACATGTAACCACTTATCTACCTTCTATAAAATTAAAGTGTGTTTTCGCCTCCAAATTGTAATTATTTTTTAAAATTCCCCTTCAAATTGTGATAATTCTAAATTTGCACTCAAAATTGCTTTATTCCCTCTATGTTACCCCTTATCTTAAGTTTATTCAAAATTTTAGGGTTAATTCCCTTTCTATCCTTATTGTAATTGTTTTTGAAAAGACAAGTAACAAAAAAAAAAAAAAATATTCAATGTTTCTTGAACAAAGCTGATGTAATTACCTGAGTCTTACTTGTAGTTAGAAAGCTCCAGTTAGAATGTTTTTCCTCCCTAGCATGTGTTCTAAGATAACTTTGTCTTTAAGTGGTCTGCAAAAAAATCTTTCCCACCCACCCACCCACACACACACAAAAACCACCCACAAAAAAAGGGGGATCAGGTGGGATATAAGATGAGCCCAGTCTTGTTAATGTGTCAAATGAAAGTTCTGTTTCTATATAGAGTCCCTCGCACATTGTAACAACTTAGGACTTGCAATAAAAAAGGAAAACAGATTAAGAATCCATTCTATATTCCAAAAGTTCCAATGTCCTGTTACTTGAATCTTTTATTCTCCTTGATTACAGAGCCTTTGAAACCTTAATAGTACTTCCATTGTTTGCACTTTTCTATCTGATCTCACTTTCTCGATCCAACCTGCAGCTCTGTCCATTAATATCGTAAAGGGGGTTCAAACTGAGGGTTACAAGTCTTTGTGGTTGATATAGAGTTTCCTTTTCCTTATGCATTTATACCCTTTTTTCTGTGCGTATGTGTGTGGGTGGGGGGGTTTTCCCCCATGAGTTTTTCTCCTTAATCTCTCTCCCTCCCTCTCTCCCTCCCTCTCTCTCTCTCTCTCTACCAGTATCTCTTGTTTTGACTTTTTGAGACTTATTTCGGCGCAGTTTTGACATCTATTCCAGTTTGAAGGTTATTTCTAATGTTTTGAATTAATCATTTCTTAGTTCTTACCATTTGGTTTTGTCTAAAATTCTTACTTGGTTATTTTCTCGATTTAGGCTATGCATGCTGCTCCAATGTATATTGCAGAAACTGCCCCAGCTCAAATAAGAGGCACACTGATTTCTCTGAAAGAGTTCTTCATAGTCATAGGAATGCTTGTAAGTTTTTCAGTATAGGAATCATGTTGTGTCTTTTATCCTATCTTCTGATTTCGAGTATCCATTGATCCTTCTGCCGCGCAGTTTGGCTACATAACTGGCAGTCTCTTTGTTGATGTTGTTGCCGGTTGGCGCTATATGTATGCTACTAGTGCACCTGTATGTGTCATTATGGCATTTGGAATGTGGTGGCTACCACCATCACCTCGCTGGGTGCTTTTATGCACCATACAGGGCAAGGGAAATCTGCCTGAAGCAAAACATCTTGCTATTTGCTGTTTGTGTCGCCTGAGAGGTCAAGTAAACGAAGGTTCAGCTTCAGACCAAGTTGATGCGATTTTGGATGAGCTTGCTTCTACTTCTGAAGAGAAAGAAGCAAGTTTCTTTGAAATATTTCAAGGAAAGTGCTTGAAAGCTCTTGTAATTGGTGCAGGACTTGTCTTCTTTCAGCAGGTAATGACATCCTCTATCATTCTTAAATTGTAATTTTCTTTCAATATTCAGAAATTTTCTGTAACTTTATGGAGCATGAAATTGATCGACCAACTCAATTTTTACTGGAATGTCAGATCACAGGGCAACCCAGTGTGTTGTATTATGCTGCCACCATCCTTCAGGTGTTGTCACTTAACCTTTCAGTAAAATTAGAATATTCCTACAAGTCTATATAACCTTACAAATTTACCAATGCAATTCTCTTCCCCCCCAACCCCCCCACCCCCAACAGAGTGCAGGGTTTTCTGCTGCAGCAGATGCTACACGTGTTTCAGTTCTTCTTGGTATACTGAAGGTAGATATCTCTTCCATAAGGAAATGGATTATAATATATTTCGGGCTACAATTTCAACATGTATTTATGAAAAATAGTTTTTAAGTTCCTTCATACAGCAAAATTATGCATTTTGTTATGACAAACTCCCCAGGATAAACTAAAATCAATCACACGAAAGCACAAAAAAATATCAAGAACACACAAACACAAAGATATACATGGTTCGGCTTGTAGCCTATGTCCACGGGCGAAGGAGGAGAAAAACTTTACTAAATAGTGAGGAATACAAAGTGGAGATCTCTCAATCACTCAATCCCAAATAACACCCCAGGATTCCCGTACAATCTCTCTAAATAAAAGGAACAAAAGAAGAGATAATTTACGATGACGGGATTCCGAAGAAACTTTGTTTCTTTCTATATTGGTGCTATAGTTGATGATGATGCTTAATAGAACCTGTCAGACCTTCTTTTATAGGAGCTTCTCCAAGTCGTTGGCCAATAGGAAACCGTATAGGAATATAATTCTAATGTGAGTCCAATTTGTGACAAATCAATCCTATCAACACTTGGACTATGAGAACTCTAACAAGGGCCTATTGGAATTCAATCCAATTAGATCAAAAGTCCTTATTCCACTAAGATTAAGACTTAGTTAAGATGTCGACACCAACTCAAATTCTAATGACTACCACATGCAATCATGGTTGAAGATTTCGAAATCAGATTATTTCGGGATTTGAGTCACACCACAACAAATCTCCACCTTGACTGAAATGTGTAGAAATCCTTCACTTCAAAAACTAGCTTACTCCACCTTCTCCAATAGCCCCATAGGGCATCTAAGTGCGGCACGTATCGATCATGTCCAAGTACCGCTTGAACTTGCCACCTGAAAGAGGCCTCCTCAACAAATCGACTGAATTGTCTGCACGACGATCGTAACGCTTAGCGAAGTCATCACCTGAAGTAGCTCCTGAATAGCTGAAGGACATAATTTTGTCAACTGACAATGCATAAACTACCATATCTTCATATCTTCGCGATAGTCGAATATTTTGTCTAGATCGATCTCTAACAATAGTGTATTCCCGCTCCTGAGGTACTTCATCTACTTGAACGGAATTTGGATGCTGAACTCCCGTAGTCTTATCCTGTTGAAGAGCTGAATCATGAATTTCTAACTCCACCTTATGTCTTGTAGTGCACGTCTTATCATCAACTAAAATCGATGACTGTTTTTGGTGGAACATAGCAGACTCATCAAAAGTAACATTACGGCTGATAATAATTTTAAGAGATTTCGGATCAGGACACCACAACCTAAAACCTTTAACACCTGATGCATAACCTACACTTCTTCGATCGCGACTCAAATTTCCCTTGATTAATATGCGCATATGCATGGCAACCAAATATTCTAAGATCAGAATAATCCGCAGACTTACCGGACCAAACCTTCTCTGGAGTTTAACAACTAATAATAGTAGACGGCGACCGATTCACTAAGTAACAAACCGTATTCACTACTTCCGCCTAGTATTTCTTGCCTAAACCTGCATTAAACATCATGCAACGAGCTTTCTCCAATAGGGTTCTGTTTATACGTTTTGTCACTCCATTCTGTTGCGACGTGGAAAGGAATATACGATGTCTAGCGATTCCCTCCTTGCAGAACTCATTAAATTTTTCTATACAAAACTCAAGGCCAGCCTCTCAGTCTCCTTCTCAATTAAAGACTTTCACTGCTTGAAAGTCACAAACACTTCATATTTATGTCTCAAAAAATAGACCCAAACCTTCTTGGAGTAGTCGTCAATGAAGGTCAATAAGTATCTAAAACTACTACCCTTTGAGACAACTTGAGAAGGTCCCCAAATATCTGAATGTATATAATCTAAAGTATATTTAGTCTGATGTACTTTCGTACTAAAGCTGATTGTTTTCTGCTTTTCATAGATGTAATGCTCATAGAATCCTAATTTTTCTATACTCTGTCCACATAAAAGACCTTTCTTACTCAACTCGGCCAACCCACGCTTACTCATATGATCAAGTCTCATATGTCATAATCTAGTAGTATCAGCTCCTGATATCGACGATGCAATCGGTAACGGTAGTACCCTTCAAAACATATAAGCTGCCAACTTTCTTTTCTTTCATAACCACAAGAAAGCCTTTTATAACCCTAAGAACTCCACATTCACTTGAAAAGTTACACCCAATGCTATTAAGGGTGCCAAAAGAGATGAGATTCTTCCTTAAACCTAGAACATGCCTAACATCTGTCAAAGTTGACTCCATCATGCATCCTAATCCGAATTGTGTCTTTCCCAATAGTCTTGTATGAGACGTTATTCCCCATAAGAACAGTTTCACCATCAATATCTTCATAAGTAGTGAACCAGTCCCGATTAGGACACATATGATAGGAACAACTCGAATCTAAAATCCAATTATCCATACTCCTATTTATATCATCTGTAGGCAATAAAATCATATCTTCAGCAATATCAACTTCAGCGGAGTTCACTTTTGATTTTCCTTCATACTCTTCTTGTTTATTCTTTTTCTGCAATCTGTAACAATCAGTCTTGATGTGCTTTTTCTTCATGTAATATCTGCAGGTCAGATTTCTGTGCTTCGACTTATACATGTTACCTCCAAAGCCCCTTTCTTCCG